CTCTGGCCAGCCGTGGCGGGGTGTAGCGGATCTCGTGCCGTCATCGGCGACAGGTTCTTGTGACGTCATCGGATACCCACCATAGACAACAGAGCCGCTCTCTGTTATGACTTGCTTTTTGCTTAATTAAAATTATCGACGAGTGCCTGGGCAAAATGAACCACCCTAGCTTTTTCGGGACTGTCAATACTATTAGAAAACAGCATTATCTCAGTATGGTTGAACATGCACCATTCTCCTTTAAGCATTATGCATGCTATCAACGCACAGAGCCTCAATCCTATTCAAGCCAAGCGAAAATGACAAGTACACGGGGTGTGCTAGTTCGTGTAGCGTACATTGTTCTGTGGTGACACTATGGGGCAACACGGAAGGCACATGGCTGCTTTCATATTGAGAGCGATTTCTCATGCACTAAACAACGGCAACGGGGCTGCCAGCAGGCACTTCAGAGTTACGAGTTTAGTGTTGGCTACTGGCGCCTACAGCATGAGCACCTGAAAGCCACCAAGACACATCAGGCCTTCCTTGTGCCTAAGACTGGGATGGACGGTAAATCTTAATTTCATCAGAAGGCAAATGAGGACTATTATATGTCCGAAGGCCATCAGCCCAAGATTGACGGCGAACTGTAATGTCCACAGGTTGAGGTAGCACTTATAGATTATGTCAAAGCTCTTCGCACAAAGACCCTTGAGAGACTATTTGCTAGTGGCTTTTCCGTCTGCAAATAAATCTTGCCTTGTGTTGAACATGTTTTATTGTTAAAGTTAGTCTTGATGAGTACTTCTCAAAGGTTGCAGTCAGTTGCTGGCGTGAGAATCCCGATTTGCAGCCATTTAATTATTCTCACTCTGTACATTTTTGCGGAAAATTTTCCCCACGTGATTCTCGCACTCCCCAACCTTTTATCGGTTTTCCGCAAAAAAAAGTGCGAGGATTATGCAAGCAAATAAGGTAACTGTCAAAGCATTTGAAGAAAGCTGGTTGATGGATGGCTCACGCGTGCGCTACTGCTATTACAGTGAAACCCCTTTAATACGTACCAGCCAGGGATATCGGCCTAACTATGCACTAAGCGTACTATGCATAAACCAACAACGACAAATTTGCATCTCCTGAAATGCGCCAGTGCCGCTGACGAAGCAATAAAGTCAGTGCCACAAGAAACACTGACTAAACCGCCCACCGCAAAGCACTCTGTGCAAAGCGCTGCGTGCTTGAACATGGTCCCGCTCAACGTGGCAGCAGCGATTGGCAACCCTGCAAATTTAGGTAGTCGCCTACTAAAAGTGTGCAGTAGGCTTAAAATATTGTTACACCACATACGTGTGCTTGAGCAGATAGTCAGAGATTATTTCCCTGATAAGGCTTTTCATCGGCGATAAGCCAATATTGGAGCGCTTGCCAGTGGTTGCCACCTCATCTTCATTTTTTCTCAATCATTACTCACAAAGACTTCGCCGCAAGCATGGAAGTCGGAATGAATGATCGGCTGATATCCGCATGTTATCAACACGACAGAAAAACGTTCGCCGCACATTGTGGCATTTGCAAGTTCAGTTGAGCAGTAAATGTTTCTGCCGCAAAATTTCACCGCGGTAGCAGTTAGTACACACTGACCAGTAAGCATAAGACGAACACTACGGCTTAAGCGGTCCGCGAATGCATTAGTCTTTACGAGACTCGGTTGGGAATTGAATTCGTCGCAACTACATTTTAACTGTTACTATGCTTCAAGCAGGTACATACTAACGAGGTTTGACTGTATTGATACGCCATGCCTCAACAATCACATGCGTTTGTTCATTCCTATGCCTATACAAAACAGAGCAGTCATCGAATTTCAGCATGCACTTACACTCTCGACAATGTAAAGAAAGTTTAGAATATGACCCTCCGGTTAGTGATATCTTCTGTTACAATAATCTCTGGTTAAAGCGACACCAAAGTCAAATAACAATTTACATCACAATGAAAGCTCAATGTATGACAACATATAAAATGACAATATTATCAACAACAGTGCCCTACTTACCAAAAAATTAAGGTAAATGCACAAGAACATAAGCGCCGCAGTAGGACATTTTCAAAATGAACCCAATGACATCAGACGGACCACCTACAACTAATTACTAGTAATCGATCTAACTGCAATAAATAAAGAACCATCCGTGCATCAAGAGAGGCAATAAAATGCTGCTTGTTCGTTTCTTTTTGATTCATGGAAAAAAGAAGCGCTGTTACTATGGGGAACGGCACGAGTGGTTCGAAAATTCAATTTTCACGTGGTTACATTGGACAGGTGATACCACCTAGCCCGGCGCAGTTGAAACAAAAGCGTCTGCAATCTCGAAGCCAATGGCGAGAAATCGATCAATGGCCGTTGTTGCTGCTGTGGCTCCTGTTGCTTTCGGTCTGCTGCTACTAGCACAGTAAAGCCGGGCAACGTTGTGCATGGCAACAGTGACGTCAGTCGGTCCGGTCAGTCGGCTTCTTGAGGCAGGTAATTTGAAGTGCGCTAACTTGATGCGGTGCACTAAAATGTGATTTTATTTTAAAATAGGCCCTTCCTTGGCACAAAAGTAACACTACGAGGTTTCTAGACAGCCATTTCAACAATCAATTTCGACTTAATAGTTAACTTTAGTGTCCCTTTAACGCAGCAGCCCATCTGTCCTATGTAGAAGCGACCACAGCTGAAAGAGACCTTATACATTACACTTGTATGACAATCAGTGAACTTGTTGGTGTGTTTCACGAAACGAATACCGTATTATTTACTCGCGTAATCCTCGCACTCGCATAATTCTCACCCCCCCCCCCCCCCCCCCCCCGTCGGCCAACAAAAATACGATTTCTTTTTTTCCTCGAGTAATTATCGCACCCCTGAAAACTGCCGCAATAATGTCGTCTGCTCGCTACAACCACTGATGATAATGCGCGCCGTCTGGCGCCATCTCTTAAGCATCAAGCGTACTATTATTGCACATAGATTCAATCTAATCCACGTCAAGCCAAAGTGGCACGTGCGCATTGGGGCGTGTTTTATACGTTGTGTCGGTAATCTTGTCACCTTATGGGGCGATACTGAAGCTACACGACTGCTTTTAAGTTGAAAGTGATAGATCATGCACTAAACAACAGGAACAGGGCCGCCGGAAAGCCCTTCAGAGTCTAGAAGTTTTGTGTTCGCTACTGGTGACGGAAGCTGAAAGCCACCAAGCCAATTTCCCACTGCCGTGTGCGTATAAAACTGGGATTGATGGTAAACTTTTTTTTCTTCAGAAGGAAACTGCGGACGATTCTGTTAAATATCTATCAGCCCAATACTGACATCTTACGCATACCTTTTGAGTGCTCCCGTTGAGCGAGGAACGCTACCGCTACGCCTGCAACGACCACAAGCTTCGCGTATGGCATTCTAATTGCTGAGTATTCGCTCACACTTTTTTTGTCTCAAATAAATCTTTCCTTGTGTTGAACATGTGCTTTTTATTGTTGAGGTAAGTTTTAATTAGTACTTCTCAAAGCTTGCTGTTAGTTGCTGGTGTGAGAATCCTGATTTGCGGCCACTTCATTTTCTTTTTCGCTCTACGTTTTCGTGGAAAGTTTTCCCCGCATTATTCTTGCACCCCCCAACTTTGCAACGGTTTCCCGCCAAAAAAAAGGTGCGAGGATTATGCGAGTAAATACGGTAGTCATGTTGAAAAAAAAAAACATTACTGTTGTGTCCTGACGTCGTTCTTATGTCTGTGCTTGCATGCCCTGTTTCTTCTAGAATGAATATGTACCAGCTAGCTCAACTGTCTGTTATCGGAAAGGTTGGTTTGGCACCCACTGCGAGCCACCAACATTCTGCAACCCCACAGCCGCTATCCAAGCCCCTCAGCATCTCTGTTTTCGGCATGTAGCCTCGTGGACAAAAACCTCTAAAAGTTCGTGGTGCTCTTTTCTCGGTTTAGGAGCGAGGAAAACTAGCAGAAACTCAAAACAAAGATGATGAAGAAGGCACATTTAGTCACACACCATCACCGGAAAATATCACTGGTTTTTCTCGCATATAAACAGGAGCCAACCAGTCCTGCTTTTCACACTCCTTTCTCGTTAAATTAAATGATGCAGTGCACACGCATATTTGCACAAACTGCGAAAGCAAGGCCATTCAATCACGGCACATGAATTTACGACCGTCAGCCGGCTGAGTTCATGTTTTCCAACCAGAACCAGAGTGCCTGAAGAGGGCACCAGCCGCGCGTTACTGCTCATGTGCAGAAGCTTTCTCGCAAATAGTCACTTCCTACTTTCCTGAACCTCTATCATGTCACAATGCACGATGGAGTCCACAATCGATCAATAATATGTGATTGCGTACCAGGCTCACCAGAGATCACCAAACCATTAAGCAAGCCAAAAGTGACTGCTTTGTGATATCCTCATGTTTCCATGCGTTTGAGGCCATTTAAGAAAAAACAGGCAGAGATGAACGATTAATCCCACACTAGACAACTATCAATCAATGAAATTGATAAAAATCCATCTAGTTTCTTCTATCTTTTGAACATCAACAGATGAATGAGCATGAGAATAGTAGTAGAGACTGAAAACTACTGTGCATGGCATCTTTAGCAACAAGTTTCTGAAGTACACTCAAACCTCATTTTAACAATCACACCTCTCGCAAGATACTTCGTTATATGCAAACATTCATTATAAACATATCTTAGTAGCACTGTGCCTATGAGAGAGCTATTCTTCATTTACTTTGTTGCAAACAATAATTCCTTATATCAAGGTTTGAGTGTCATTGAGAAAAAGTGTTGTCCAAACATAAAAGGAGACTATAGTACCAGGAAAGTGCATTACAGCAGTGGCCCCAGCCACACCTCTCTGGGTGTGAAAAAATTCCTGAGACAACTTAGCGACACTTTTACGTCCCCACACAGTTTTGACCTGACCTTAGCAGACTTATTTCTGCTCCCAAGGGTCAGCACACTTACCTTGGCTCCTTTGCCTGCCAGAGATGCAGTGATGCTATCCAAGGCAGTACCATCATCTTCAGATTGCCGTGAGCAATGATTGATGAACATACTTGGAATGTCTTTGCCAAAATAGATCTTGTTGTTAGAAGAAATTGCTTCATAGCGTTTGAGTTCCAAATACTCTGGGGTTAATAACAACTGGAATAAAAAAGGAAAAAAAAAAAGAGCTTATGTAACAAGACTCCATTATGTTCATGTAATATATATATATATATATATATATATATATATATATATACAAATCACAACACCTACAGTGAACACAAAAGGCACAATATAACACATTATATTTTATTATTATAGTTTATTGCTTCATATAACCAACATTTCTGTACTTAAGCAATTCTACTATTCGTTCACTTAAAGAGTACTCAACGAAACTTTTGCCACGAAGATTTTCAGGCAGACTGTAAGACTGGGTGCTGAAATTGGCAAACACAATCTTCATTTCACAAAAATCCTAGTGGAAAATAACACATTTATAGCGTTTTTTTCAAAAGCAGATGCATGTGAAGCAGATGCCACACTGTGAACTAGGAAAGATCATGTATGATGACATTTATTGCAGATGCAATGGGCATGCCACCAATTCTAGCCATCACCCAAGTCTCTGAACCTACTCAGCCCCCGCTATGACTCCTAGAACCATTACTGATGGCGCCGGCAGGGCTCTCAGGTTGAATGCTACCAGGTTGGATAAAACTCAGTGGAAAGAAGAGGGAAGAAAGGGAATTAGCAGGACAGGAACAAGTGCACCCTGCCGCGGCGACTGACGTCACAGCTTTGCCCCACACCGACGACAGTTTTCTAAAATTAGAGCAACCTGTTTAAATAAACTCTGTTTACCAAATCGACGCGTACTCTGGGTAAAATGTGCATATTTTTGTAAATTTTTTTTTCATTTTTGTTTAGTATACACTTTAAGCCACGTGTGATGTAACTACCCCATTATGTAATATCTCTCTAAGGGGTCTTTAAGATATTTAAGCATACTAAATATGATAGCAAGACCTCATGGATATGGTCATGTTTGATATCATTTCCCAGAGCTGTTCCTTTGACAAAGTGACAGCTCTGGGAAACACAGAATTAATGTTGTGTTTTATTGAAGTTTGAAACACAACACCATTGCTGTTTGAATTTCATTGGGTAATGTGTGTGCATATTAGCTTTTCGTTCATCTACTTTGGCTTCTTGGTCATGACATCCGAATGGTACATATAGGGAACCTTTAATGTGGCCGTCTCTACTAGCAACATCGACGAAGACAGTTGTGTGTTGCCACTGAAACCAGTCACTTGACAGAAACTGGCGTGCATCACATCTGGATAGGTCACCACTGCCACATCAACAAGTTACTTCATTTCAAGTTCAAATGTATTTGAGGCTTAAAGGCAAGGAAAGGTTAAATATTAATTCCTTAATCTGTTACTGACACAGCTGGTGAAATTTGATAATAAGAGTTTTACCCTTATTTATGTCCACTACTAGACAAAAAGACCAGTATGAGAAAAGTTCTGAGGAAAACACCTCAAAAATGAGAAGTTTACCCACCCATACTCATACAGCAGGTGTTACCAATCAGTTTTAACCCGGCTATACCAGAAAAAACGGCAGTTGAGGCTACGAATTGCTTTATACCATAATGCTGATGTGCTCAACACATGGTTCCCAACATGAACATATGACAAGTAAATATCTTCTCAGTTTTGCAATCTGATCTGACTAACTTTTATTTTAGTCCACACTATGCTGCTCACATTGCTAATACAGTCAAACCCGGATATATCAAGTATGAAAGGTTGCAACTGCAAAATACGTGCGCTGCAAAACACGTGCGCTGCTTGAAACTGCCTTGCGACCCCACCTGAATTGAATGAGAACGAGCTGAAATTTTGTGGATGACAGCCCCTCAGCTTCAAGTTTTATGGCGATGATGTTTTGCGTGTGTGAGACATCCGTAGCCGCTCATGGGTTTGTTTTGTTTTGCTTACATCCTCAAGTTATCTCCTACGCAACAAGTGCATATAGCTTCTGGCCTCTAAGCATAATCTCATAGTTACTCAGGGTACGTGCGTAGTCCACACTTCGCTAAGGTGCGGTATGGTGGTGTTGGCTGCAGAGCTCCTCCTAACGGCAAGAAGGCCCCCAGAGCACATCTTGGCCCCGACTACGGAGCAGTGAAACATTTTAGAACTGCGCGCAATATTGTCCCTATTTTATTAAGATATGTGCAAAGAAAGATGCAAAGGAATATGCTTGGATGCATATATTAGAACGCTACCTATGAGGAGTGAGGTGGCTCATGGAAAGAGGTGATGCTAGATGAAATAGCGAAGTTCATTGGACATCTCATCTACAGAGGGATTATTCACATCACAGGTATCCATCTATATTAGAATACCTGGAGACTCTTATCGCAAAGCAACCAAAATTTACCGAGAAGAGTGTACGAGTACACTTGTGTCACACGAAAAACCAAGCAATGCTTCACTGCATGGCATGAACAATGAAGCAGTACATCGGTTGTGATTTTCTTTGTCTCTTTATATAAACTTCTTGCACAACATTGGTTATTTTCATAATGTTTCTGGGTTAATTACCTATAAAATGCATATTCTGATTTTTCTTTGCTTTGAATATTTTTGCATATACAGTGTTTTTTATTCCACTATTTACCAGCTGGTAATGAGAAATTTTACGCTTTTCAAGTTTTCATTTCTTTTAAATATTTTTGTTGCTCTACAACCCATATTTTTTGGAAAAAGCATTTCATCATTCTGCAAAGTTTAGTATGCTGCAATGCTTGCTGGAGTACTTTTCAAACTGGCAAAAACAATCTTCCCGAGACACATGAAAAACAACCATTCCCGCGCGGTAACGAAAGAGCTAAGCAAGATATTTTTTTCCATAGGAAACCATGGTGGAGTAGAAGCACTTTCACAAAAAAAACTGTGGTAAGCGCTGTTACAACTATAGTATGTCACAGTTGCAGATATTGAAACCTTAAAGTCGACTACACTTTGCATGTGCACCCACATACAGTATGTGTTGATTAACTCACTCCAAGCTTTAAAGAAATGCATGTACGCAGGAAGTGCATGCAACCGAACAGGTATGGTTCAATGTCTTTGTAAAAAGGTCTGACAACACTTTTGAGCATGGTCAGAAAATGCTCCCGTTCAATAGTCGAGGCTCCCAAGAGCATGCATGCCAAATGTTATAGCGTAGTACGCGGCCCGGAATTACCATATAATTGATTCCCAGCATCACCTGAAAATTTCTTTTTCTTTTCTTAACAAATGACACCACAGGTTCAAAATTACTACATCCAATTGTTGTCCTTAGAAAACACTCGAAAATACGTTTGACCCGGCACTAGTGCATTGCTTTTGTCATCCCCAAAAGGTCTTTGAAATGACTTTTCAGCTTTTCAGGACAAAATGTTGTCCTCAGAATGCACTCGAAAAGACGTTTCCGGGTCAAACCAGCTCGTGTTGTCCGCAGTGAGTACCGAGGTCAGTGAGAACTGTGCGAGGCCGATTGTACAATTTCAGGATGACCTCAGGACATCAAGTGTTGGCTGTGCAATTTCAATTTCACACTGAACAAATCATAAAAAGGCCGAATGCATGCGTAGCTGAACACAAAATAAAAGTGTTCACTGGAATGCAGATGCTTGTACAGCAGGCCAACATGTAATATCTTTCCATGTAACGATACAATGGCTTCATTAAAGGGACCCTGCAACACCTTTTCAGCATGGTCAATAAACATTGCCGATTGGTAGTAGAGGCTCCCGAAAACACGTGAGCCAAATAACTATAGTGCAGCACGCGGCCTGGAATACCTAATAAATTTTCAGTCTCCTGAAAATTGCTCTCTCTTCTCTCGACGAATGACAGAAGATGCACGAAATTTACTCGTAGAAGGCCTTCTATCAGCCATCGGCTGATTCAAGCATACCGCGCTCGGTCTTTACTGGGGCGGCCGTGGGAGGCAGCGACTTAACCACACAGGTATGCACGAGTGCACTCAATAGAAAAAATAAAAAGGATAACTGCTCAAGGTCACAAGGGGGCGTGACATATTTTCTTTCCCTGTGCCATCCCTCCCACTCTGCTTAGTATTGAGTGCTTTCGTCGGCACGAGAGAAGAGAGAATGCGATTGCAGTGTGCGACAAATCTTCACGACTCGGCTCCTACTGCACGGATTATGAAAATTTTTGCAGAGTTGTATTCGTGGGGTGATAAGCTCCTTCAAAAAATTCATTCCATGGCAACTTGAAAAAGCGTAGCAATTTTCTTTTTATTGTGAGGTCAAATACCTTATTACCAAAACTCATTAACAAACAGTTAAAGTAATACTTCCGGCACAAAATACTCAGTAAGAACCTTTCACATCATTAATAGAAATACCCAAATAATCTTTTTCCATGACAATAGCTACTGTGTTGTAAAATTTTTTTGAACGCAAAGCAAAGGCAACGTCTTCTGCGCTGCGCGGTGCATGAGACGCTCTTTCACACAGAACTGGCTCTTGCGCCTTACAGAAGTGACATCATCTTCATTGTATAAACTTAAGGTCATTAAAATGAACAGAATGTTACTTCAAAATGTGTTACATCTACAAATGTATTGAACGAAAAGTGTTTGACAAGTCAGTTAACGTATGTTTGTTAATTAAACACATATAGCAAGCATTTTAAATGCAGGGGGTGCTGCGAAAAAAAAACAGTGGTAAAGAGTGTAGCTGCGATGTACGCCATAAAGTTTCTCACTATGATGCGCGGATTATTGCTGTTGGACGTACTGCATTTTCTGGATTGCAAAGTAAAAACGTGGTGTTGTCGAAGGTGAAAGTGTCCTTGCTGCCGAGTATCTCATTTTGCTTGTTGCGAAGGGCAAGGTTGACTATGAAATACCGTAATTACTCGAATCTAACGCGCACCTTTTTTCCGGTTAAGCGAGCTCATAAATCGCATGTGCATAAGAATCGAGTGCGAAAAAAAAATGAATATGGTCATTCTATAGCCATCGGCATTTCCAAAATGGCCGCCCCCTACGTGCGTGGGCATGGCGCGTCAGCCATTTCTGCCTATGTGTTTCCCATGTGCGGCACTTCGTACGTGTGCTGAGGAGTTCGTCATCTTGTAGTTCATTAGCATCGACGGCATGGAAGGGCCGACTCTAAAAACTCGACGAGTGCACCACGTTGCCGCTTTTAAAAGAAAAGTCATCGCGTGTGCCGAAACGGACAGAAATCAGGCCGCATCGCGGGCGTTCGGAGTCCCCGAAACGTGCGTGCGGGACTGGCGGAAACAAAAGCAGAAGATTGTCGACAGCGATGATTCACGCAAAGGCTTCAGTGGACCACAGCAGGGTCGGTTTCTACGAATTGAAGAGCTGCTCGCCGAGTATGTGCTTGAGCAGCGAGCGGCACAGCGGCCCGTGACGACAGAACTGCTCTAAGTGTGGGCTGTGCAGTTAGCTTTAGAAAAAGGGCTAACGCTGAGCCAGTTCAAAGCGAGCAGGTGTTGGCTAACCAACGTTATGAAGAGGAAAGGCTTTTCCCTCCGAAAGCGAACGGGCATGGGCCAAAACTTGCCGGAGGAGTACGAAGAAAAGCTTCACAGTTTTCAGCGGTTTGTCCTAAACTTGCGGCACAACAACGGCTACCTGCTTGGGCAAATCGGGAATGCCGATCAGACGCCTCTTTACTTCGACATGCCTGGCACCACAACCGTCGAGAAGAAGGGGGTGAAGCAAGTTCGCATGCTGACATCGGGCCACGGTAAAACAAGAGTGATGGCAATGCTCCTTAGAAGTGTGGCAGCTTGGTCTAGTTGATATGGCATGAGGATAGTTATAGCGCGAGACCAAAACGACGACACAGAGATAAGAAGGACAAAAGGACAAGAAGGTGTCTTTCGTGTCCTTCTTGTCTCTGTGTCGTCGTTTTGGTCTCGCGCTATAACTATCCTCAGGCAATGCTCCGTTGCACATCAGATAGGCACAAGCTTCCCTTGTACCTCATATTTAAATAGAAGACGCTCCCGAAAGGAGTCGTTTTTCCGAGTAGTGTGATCGTGCGGGCCAACGAGAAAAATGGGTGCGCGTTGCAATCGATGTCTTACTTTTTTTTTTCGTAGTGGAAACCGAGTGCGCGTTACAATCGAGGGCGCGATAGAATCGGGTAAATACGGTAAACGTTTTTCCACAGCTCGTGTGAATGCCCGGACGCACACGAAAGCCCAGCATGGCTGCTAAGTGTTTTTACGATGTCTGTGGTCTTCGAAGGCCTAAGCGGCCAAAGGTCCTACATTGCAGGCTATACGACTGTTCTCATTCGTTGCTGGGTACTGTAATTGCTGCCGTGCTCTCATAGGCCGTGTTATTGAAGTCAGACAAACTGCTTGGCACTGTTTTGTAGGTGGGTGGCCTAACGCAGTCGGTACATGCCATTGGGCATGGTTTATCAAGTGCTGATCGTCTGAAGGATTACGGTGGCACGTGAGTATTTTCTAGCAGTTTACTGATTACCTCGTGAGGTGGTGACAGTACGCTGAGCGGCATAACAACAAGGTTTCCTGTTGCATATTCGGCGTAGCTAAGTTAGAGTGCGCCTTTCTGTCATCAGAACTTTGATAAACTGTGCAAATCAGCATTCCTGATGTGTGTGCTGGAAAAACTAATGCAGCTAGCTGCATTTGAATTTTGCTTGTGCTCCTCCAAAGAATATTAATTCACAAAACAGTTTATCACAATAAATATAGCCAATTCTGCGAGGGTCATCAAACATCCAATATCAAAGAGCCTCTAGACAGGACCACCAGCAAGTCCGGCTAACGAGAGGCTGATGAGAAGGCACACTAAAAGTCGCATCGTCGCATGCCAATTATGCCAACTCGGCGAAGCCATGTCCTGTTCGAACAATTCAATTGAAGGGCCAAACTGAAAAAGTGTATGACGTCACTTCCGTGTGGCACAGGAGCCACTTCTGTGTGGGGCAGGCACCTTCATTGCGTGGCGCAAAGTCTTTGCTCAAAGCAAATGCATAAGATTTGAAAAAGCACAATGTGACTAGGCCAAGACAATAAATGTATTCCTCAATCGCGCTACCAAATAATGATTGATCCTGAACACATACTGAAGGCATGAACATGGCACAAGCAAAAACATAGGCAATGGCCACAACCTTCAGCTTCGATACCTCACCATCTGCTAAAGGGGCACTGACACCAAATTTCGCGACCGAGATGGCCTGTGGGGTCGATTTCCAAGAACATTCGTATATCATCTGCAAAATATCAACAGCAAATATAGCTGGGAAAGTATTTTAAAAGAATTTTGAAGTTTGCGTGAGCCCTTGACTCCATCGCGCCATTGACACCCTTAAAGGGGACTCTGAGGTGACTTCCTACATCTCTCACGTCACCGCGCTGCACTCAACAAAAGAATTTATGATGACGCCATAGCCGCCTTTTTTTTTTTTGTCGCGTTTGTTCCCGCAGTCTATACTTTTTGGCGGCTGGTTGTGACTGCGTGGCCGTGGCGCACGCTTATAACGATTTGTGTTTGGCAACACTGCAGTCCCATTTCCTATTTGAAAGTAATTCATGATGTGGACCTTGCAGAAGTATGCCACAGTTTTGTGTGGTGACGTAGTCAAGATCTGCACACACTAGGTGATGACAGTTGCACCCAGTTTTTGGAGCTCTCTCAAACGGAAACTGATCGATAATGAGGTGCCTGTAGTTGATTATCTGTCACGTGCTGTAGCAAACGATGTATCGTGTCATGACTAACAGGCCCTCAGCAACACATTGCAGCAGAATAATGTGAGGCCAATGTTTTTGTGTCAGTACCCCTTTAGCGCAACACCCCAGCCCTTCATGCTGTTCAGAATCAGAAAAATATCCTGACAGAGCTAGAAGATTTACCATGCATTATTTATCATGGCAGGGGCTGAGATAATGTTACTTGCAACATAAGGCATGTGGAGCACACTAAGCGATCTCAGCTCGCTCAGACTTTGAATTTACATTTATAACCCTTTCACTATTGACTGCATACGCATGAAAGACAGCATACATCCCACCATCCTATGTCTCAGTTCACATTAATGTACAAGCTCTATCTCATCCTACTTGGATTTTACACAGAACAAACCAGTCACGACAAATATAGTGGCCGTGTATAACTATAACCACCACAAAAAGGGGCAATTCAGGACATATAATGCAATTTGTAATAATGTGTCTAGAAATGTTAAGGTAATGACTGGTCGCAACAACACTATTTAGCTTCTGTAAAGAATTGCATTATAGGGGAGTGGTACAAGATGCTGATGCTAACCCTATTTGCCTCTGCAAGTCTCTCCTTTGAGTAGAACTCTCCATCTGCTTTCATCTTTTGCCTAGAATAATGCATTTCATCTGTAAATGAAAAAAAAAAAGAGCATGTTAGAGAGACCATTTTTCTTTCGACTTGACATTAATTTAAAAAAAAGACGCAGCCAACCTGAATTTTTCAAACGTGCTTAGTGCTGCAATAAAGTGGGACATATATGTCAAGCATTACAAATTAGGTATACTAAATCGAAGAGATGTGAAAGTGAGTACTAATATACTAATTAATCATACTTTCAAATTGCAAAAAAGGTTTCCATGTTACAACACCAGAAATTATGGTAATGGCTAGTTAGCAGCTGTCTCTAGTTCTTTAGTTAAAACAAAGCAACTGTAGCACACTAGGAAAACATTGCAGAAAAATGCCCTAAAATGTACTGGAAGGCTTAAATTACATGATCCGGATTGGTGCCACCCGGCTCTGATGATTTTATCATGAAGCACCAAGTGACACTAAGTATAGAAACACACCATGGTCTACAATATTTAACAGAACATGAATATCTGGAACTACATGGCATAGATTCAGGATATATGAGAGTACTACATTCATGAACGTTACTTTCCATTTTTTTTTCTCAGCAAAGCTCACTGATAGAGCAGCTATGTGAATTTTGATGCTGTATATGGTTCACGAAATCTGCATGGCCCCAGGCATGTTTTATACATTGGCATAAAAAAATGCTGTTCACACAACACATGTACATAATGCTGAGCAACTTCCTACATTCAGCCATGCACAAGCCAGTAACCGCAACACACTCATAAGCATCATGTGGCAGATGACAGAGTCAACAAGTTTGCTAAAGCTCAGCCTATATGCACTATTATAACCCCACTGGAGGCCTCGCTTGTACCACATACAGCCCATCTGTGGCTCTAAAAAACATCCCTCGAACAGAAACCTGGTCCAAGAGTGGAAACAGATACATTACTCTTCACCACAGGATATATGAAATATATGACCTCAGTATGAGTGGGATGACCTGTTAAAGTGGCCCTGCAACACTATTTAAGCATGGTCAGCAAGCGCTGCCAATCAGTAATCGAGTCTGCCAAGAACAGGCAAGCCAAACATTACAGTGTAACACATGGCCTAGAATTTACCGTATTTACTCGACGCAACCACGCCCTTCATTGTAATGAGTACCCAGTTTCTATGACACAAAAAAGTGAAACATCGATTGTAACGTGGACCCATTTTTCGTGACGGAAGAGAAAAAAAAAAAAAGGCAATAGGAGTCAACCTTCGCACATTCAAAAGAACAAGTATTTGGGTTTCAATGCACCAAAGTTTCGAAAGATGAAACACAAAGTCAAACAGGCGGCCCTGCCACTAAAGCTGTGACCACTACGGCGGTGTTTTTTGAGTCGCGTAATGAGTCGGTCCTCGTCGCTGTCGGACAACTCTTGCAGAGAGGCGCACTTCATCCTGTTGCTTGGCATGAAATCGTGTCATTTATTGATCAGCCAGTCGGTGTACAGCGCCCGAATCGAATCCTTCACCGGCTTGCTCAGGCAGAAATCGAGAGGTTGAAGCTGCGATAGCATGCTGCCAGGTATAATTACGAGGTTCGTATTGCATGCAGCTAGCTTGCCCTTGATCCGCTGGTCAAGATGGCACCTGAACGTGATCGTAAGCCGAAAGCAGCGCCGGGCCGCTTTCACCAGATATGGTGGATCCAATCCGCGACCAGGTTCATTGTCATCCAACCTTTTTTGTTGGCTCGCACGATCACACCACTCGGGAAAACGACTCTTTTCAAGAGCGTCTTCCGTTTATATATGAGGTATGGGGGAAGCTCGTGCGCATATGTCGTGCAACAAAGCATTGCCGTCAATCTTGTTTTCTTGTGGCTGGATGTCATCACGCGCACTTGCTTCGCCTCCTTCTTCTCGACGGTAATGGAGCCAGGCATGTCAAAGTAAACAGGCGTCTGATCCGCATTCCCGATTTACCCAAGCAGGTAGCCGTTGTTGTGCCGCAAGTCTAGCATGAACGTCTGAAAACTGTGAATTTTTTTTCATACTCGTCCGGCAACTTCTGGCATATGCCTGTTCCCCTTGAGAGGGAAAAGCCTTTCTTCATAAAGTTTGTTAGCCAGCACCTACTTGCTTTAAACTCGCTTTGCGTTAGCCCTTTTTCTAAGGCTAATTGCATAGCCCACATCTGGAGCAGATCTGTCGTCACGAGCCGCTGTGCCGCTCGCTGCTCGAACCCATACTCGGTGAGCAGCTCTTCGATTTGCGGAAACTGGCCCTGCTGTGGTCCACTGAAGCCTTTACGTGAAGCTTTGCTGTCGACAATATTCTGCTTTTGTTTCCGCCAGTCTCGCACGCACATTTCAGGAACTCTGAACGACCACAATGCGGACCGATTTCCGTCTATTTTTGAACACACGATGACTTTTCTTTTAAAAGCGGCATCGTGGTGCACTTGTCGAGTCTTTAGAGCCGGCACTTCCATGCCCTCGATGTGAATGCACAACTCCTCAGCACACGTACGAAGTGCTGCACTTCTATGCCCGTCGGCTGTACGAAGGCATTCATTTATTTTTTGCGCACTCAATTCTAAAGCGCATGCGATTTATAAACCCGCTTTACTGAAAAAAAGGTGTGCGTTAGATTCGAGTAAATACGGTACAATTATTACTCAGTCAGCGAGAATTCGCTTTATCGTCCCTCTAAAAATGATGCCATACACCCAAATTTTTGTGCCATATGCACACATTTGTGACCGTTGGCTGACTTGCTGCATAGTTACCGTCGCCGCCACGGAATACCATAATGTACTACATGCGTGTTGACGAGGGGATGCACCCCTTTGTCAACCCTGTCCCTGTGTGATACCCTTCAAGTGCGCTAACTTTTGCAGCATGTAACTTGTGTCATGTGCTACTAGCACGTTAAAGAACCCCAGGTGGTCAAAATTTCCGGAGCCCTCCACTACGGGGTCTCTCATAATCATATCGTGGTTTTGGGACGTTAAACCCAACGAATCAAATCAAATCAATCATGTGCTACTAGTGAGACTGTTTCACAGCAACTTAGAAAAGTGTTTCAGAGTTTCTTAAGGAAGATATCCATCCTTTATTGAATATTTAATGTCCCTTAACAAACAATTCTACAGCCCATTTTCTTTATGCTTTCCTTGTTATCATTAATCAGAAGTATTTCTACAGCTCCAGTGATATTAAACTCACTTCCTTTATGAATACGATACCTATATTTACAAATAATAATCACTGGTGTTTTACGTGCCGAGCTGTGCTACGACTATAAGACATTCTACAGTGAGAGACCCCAGATGAAATTTGATCCTTCGGAGTTCTTTTTTTTTTTTTTAAACCTGAATCTAAGTACAGAGATGTTCTTAGCATTCTTCTGCCAATGAAATGCATCCGCCGTGGCCTGATATAAAACCTGTGTCTTCAAGCTTAGTCCTGCAACACTTTACAAGCAAAGCAACTACGGTGACTTCTACTATCTGTTGGCTTCATGTAAACAGCAATGTATTTTTAAGGTGAGAAGCTGGCCTCAGTGTATTGTACTGGCTACTGCAAGTTGTCTAAGTTTTTCTGTACTTTTTTTTCTTGTATATTGAACAGTGTTGTATGAGAGATCACACTTGAGAAATATAGCCTATAAGAGCATTATTACACAACTGCCCATTAAAAAAAATTATGCGCAGCTAACGTACAGCCACTTGTAAAACATTTTCACAGAAGAAATGTACATGTACATCAATAGTACTAGCAACATGCAGACTGAAATGCTAATGCCCCATTAGATGGCAGGCATACTGCTTCTAAAACAGAGCAACCGTGTTAAACTTGGTCTCTAGTTTATAATTTACAGAGTTCTAGTAAAACTCGTTGCTGAATAAGTGGCACACAGGCTGAAGCAGCCCAAAAAGAACTCCCTTCTCATCCCAGCACCTACAGCTGACTCCTCCAAATGTTTGAAACCGACATCACATCTCCAGACTAGCATAATGCCCAAACAGCTACAACACATCAGCACATGGAATAACTTATAAAGGTAGAGGTTAACATTATAGGAACTGTAAGAGGAATGCCCATAATATCACACTTTCCTTTAGTGTAGTTACGCTTCAAACATGAATTAGCATTACATTTATTCCGTCATGAATTGTAACGGTGTGCTAAAGCTATGTCCTGCTGACACCTTGCCTTTTTAGACACTATCTTAAGTTGCTTGCCAGGAAGTGGTCGCAGTTATGTCCATTCTACAGCTCTGCCTTAATTACACATTAGCACCTAGTTTCGAAATCTGCTGAAGTGTTAAACTTCTTTGTTATTAAAACACAAAAGAAGTGCATTGTAATGTCGGTAGTCCACAGGTGCATCACCAGCAATAAGCAATAAAGGGTGCTATCGTGGAGTGATGCCTTATGCCTCATTCTATGTTATTTGTCTCATGTGCCACTCATGGTCACCTAATCCTGTTGGTAATGCGAACCACAATCACTGTGGTTTAAACTTCCCGCACTTGGCAGGAAGTTTAAAAAGCATTGGCATCAAAACAGGCATTAATCTGCGATAGCCCCTCTATTCTCTTTGATGAAGCCACTTTCCCTTGTTTTTGATTTTTTTTACTTGCCTCAGCACATTTTTGTTGTCTACCCAGCTGCAAAAACCAGGCAAGCAGGCAACTTGTGGGTTTTGTGTCATCATCGTTCATCACAACTGAGCGAACGGTTAATGTAGAGAAGGGTGACAAAAAGCAAACACAGAGTACAGCAGAGACTGAACGCCAGTAATGGCAAAAAGAGAGAAAAGGAAAAAAGAAAATGAAGGTGCAGTGGAAGCATTAAGAGGAGAGTGATGTCTGGAGAAAATACAGCATGTCGAACACAGCGTGGACGATAAAAGACAATGTAAGCAAAAAGATAGAAATAAGAGGGCACTACTGCTACTAGGGAAAGAGCTTCACGGAGCCACATATTCCCAGATTCAAACTTTCTAAAAATTAGCAATTTGCTTCTTCTGCAGCTGCTAAACACA